GGGGCATGGAGGGCGGGGGCGGGGCCATGGGGCCCTGCGAGGGGGTACCCCACCGCTGTGCAGGCGCGGCCGAGCTGGGGCCCATCAGAGGGGACCCTGGAAGAACGTAGGATCCAGAGCACCGAAAAACTAGTCCGCTGAGAAAAATCTCAAACACCCAAATCCTGGTGGAACCGGTGATGTAGGTGGGGAGTTACCGGTTGTGGGCATGAGTATTTGGGCATGAGTTAGGATCATGATTGGTTCCATCGGTCTGTATGACCTAGGACAGAACTGTTTACATGGGATCCGGAAGGATGGCTCACCCGAGGACGTGGTGAACCAGCCAAGTGATAAAGGGGAGTGTGTCGGGAGGGGCCTGCTGCTGCCTTTTGGCTCAATGTAAACTTGGTTCTGCTCCTTATACGTGTGACCTTGAAGGAGCTGCTTAGTTGGTTCCATCACTGTCGTCTGTGAAATGGAGAATAATGATGTTAACTGTCTCATAACTGAAGGAGGAACAGAATGTAGGAAATAAAAGTAGGCGTATAAATGGTGGCCTCTGTTCCCAAAATTCTCCCGGGAAGTCCTGATCACCCAAAGGTGGCCAGATGAGGCTTGGACGATGTCTGTGCATCAGCTGATGTGAACAGCTCTTTGGTGTGGCAGTCCATGAATGCATATCACTTCAGCCAATTCCACAATTCTCTAGAGTAAGTACCATAGATACTCGTTTTACAGAGGACAGAACTGAGACTCAGAGATGTAAAGCCGTTTGTCCGGGATGACACAGCTCTGAGTGAGGGAAGGAAGGGTTTAGGGGAGATGAGCTTGAAAAAGCTCATAACTGAACATGGTGGGCACACCTTCAATCCCAGCTTACAGGATGCAGAAGGAGGAGGATCTCTGTGAGTTTCGAGGTCAGGGCCACATAGTGATACCTTGTCTCAAAGAAAAAGAGACAGAGACAGAGGGTGGGGGGAGGGAGGGGGGGAGGGAGGAGGGAGGGAGGACTGGCAGATACCAAGAGTCTCCCTGGCGCCCAGATAAACGGACCACACCAGCTTTTCCTCTTTGCATATCTGGACAGTCCTCAAATATGGAAGCAGTGTGCTTCTTCATGAAGACAGCAGCCTCGGCAGGCTCTGAAGTTGGTAGGAGGTGTGGGGGGTAGTAGTAGTAAGGACATCCATAGAGCCAGGTATTCCCAAATTGTTCCTAGATTGGAGAATAAAGGGTTTGGGAGGCATAGTTGCTGGCTGGAAGGTTGAAGTGTGAGGGCAGAGAAGCAAGGAGACTCATTCTAGCTGTGTTGCCACCCCCCCCCCCACACACACACCCAGGAGACAATGAAAGCAGGACTTCTGGACACCCCCTCTCTCCCAGCTCCACATACTAAAGACTGGAGCTCTATAGGAAGCGGTGGGTGTAAGAAACAGCCCACATTATGGCTGGCCACCCAGGGCCAGGAGGGTGGCTATGGGTGGAGTGAACTCCCAAGGCAGGACTTTGGTTTCTGTGGGCAAAGGTAAACGAGTTATTTTTAGCCTGGCCAGGAACAGCATGAGCAAGAGTAGTGGCTGATCACACCCAGCCATCTCCACCCATCCCAGACCACAAACACACAGCCCTACACACCCCTGGACAGTTAGACATACCTGCAAAAGAATATACAAGTCAATATACAACACAGACACACAGGTGCAAGACGACCTTTCCTGAAACACCCTGTGTGTAAATAGACATCCACCCAGAAAAACACCCACAGACCAAAGCCCACGGGACCAAAAAACCCAAACACACCTCCAGGCACACACACATAGACATCTGACTGGAAAGACAAACAGGTATTTGGATATTTAAAGACTGCCAGGAAACACCGTGGGTGCATGGGTACCAAGACTCACATCTCATTCTCAGACCCTAGACACAGGCATAAGGTCAAGGGTTCTATGCGGTGTTGTAGGTCCTTCTCCCTCCATGGGATATTAGAGACTTTTCTTTAAAAGTTGCTAATTCCTGCTGGGCAGAGAGGGGGTGAGGAATAATAAGCCTTTCCTCCCTTCTTCTCAGCCCCTTTCCACCCTTCAGTCTGGAATCTCTCTCTACTTTAAAAAAAAAAAAAGCAAAATCACTTTATTCTAATTCACAAATACAAGCATTACACAGCTAAGTGTAACCCTTGTCGGGCTGGTCCCACAAGCTCTTTCATCTCAGTGAACACCTCGGTACTTAGAATGGCCATTCTGAAGCCAGGGAGCTTCCTTAGGGTTCTGCACGCTCAGTGTCAATTACACTTCTTATTCACTTATCCACCACAGAAAGAAAAAGAAGGGAGAGAGAGAGAGAGAGAGAGAGAGAGAGAGAGAGAGAGAGAGAGAGAAGAGAAGAGAAGAGAAAAACTATAACAGAGTTAAAACTAGATACAAAATAGAGGTATATTTTCTTTCATGACTCCTGTGTACTTTTGGCTGCCTTCTGTCTTTCTTCATCATCCAATTTCTTCAATCTTAGCATCTACTCACAGAGGTTTGTCTCTCTGGAATTAGCCCTTTAAGGGAATCTCTCATAACTCCTCCAGGCCCCTTCCTGTGTTAAACCACAGGAAGATGCCTCTCCCAGTCACCTACAGTTAGGGGGCCCCCTCCCCAAGACTAGCCTAGGCAACCTCATCTTTGGCCCTCAACTGGGAATGGCCACTTCCCTCCCATGTGCAAGGTAACACAGTGGTGAAGTTGTACAGAACTTTCCAGAAGTGTCCCCAAACCTTGTGCCATGACACTCCATCTGGAGGGAGGGGGTGGTGCTGTTTCTAGTTGAGCAAGAACTAGGGCACTGGATTGCCAAAGTTGGCCTCTTTTGGTGGGGAGAGGTTTGGAGACAGGGTTTTTCTGTATAGTTTTAGAGCCTGTTCTGGAACTCGCTCTGTAGATCAGACCAGGCTGGCCTTGAACTCACAGAGATTCTCCTGCCTCTGCCTCCCAAGTGCTGAAATTAAAGGCTATACTACCACCACCCCACCGACTCTGTTTTTATTTATCATGACATCATCAATGATGTTTCTTGCCCACAGAAGGATGCATTATGATGCAAGAGAGAAAGAGAGGTTATTGATCCAAGGCCCACAATGGCTATGAGAAAGAGCCCCAAGGCTCTACCTCCATGTCTTGGAAGCCTGGGCAAGGGGTCTAGGGTCCGAGGCTGGAGGCAGGGTAGCCTTTGTGGGGGCACAACTGCTTTGAAAGACTGAGCCACTACTGACCCTTAATGGAGGCTGCAGATGCTTCTGGTACCACTCTCATATTTTCCAAACAGGATAGCATGCAGGACTGGAAGGTGGAGTCCAGCTGATGGATGTAGCCCCAGACCCCCCGCTGTTCTTCTTACCTGCTGGGAGATCTCCAGCCACTTAGTTGCCCTTTCTGGGCATCAGTGCCCTCCGTTGTAAAAGGGAAATAATCACCACTTCGCAGGACTAAAAGGAATGTGCATACATCCTCTAATCTAGCTGAATAACAGCTACCTATTTCATAACAATTATGATTTGAAAGCTGCCTTTGGGGCTCCCTGCTAGAGTAGCTGGCAGCTTGTGCTTAGCGTCTCTAGCCCTGGCTATTCTCGCATGTGCCACCAGGCGGCGCACTGCAGCCTCAGCCTCCTCAGCACCGCGGCAGGCTCTCGAAGCAAGGCAGAGCTGTGCAACTGTCCCCCTATCCACTCTTCTGAGACGCTCCCAGGATGGATTTCTGTTCCCCGGGGGATGGGAGTTGGGGATAGGCTTTAAAGGATCGGTATGCGGGTTCTTGAGTGGGAAGATTTGAAGTTAAGTTCACATAGTCTCTCCTCATTGACTCAGGGGCAGAAGGACCCCTAGACATTTGTAAGCCTCAGAAGAGAGGTGTCTGTGTTAGAAGTCCTTCAGTCTGTAATAATAATATTAGCATAGCCAGTGCTGATCCTGACCTTAGTCTTTCACATGCTAATCACACACGTGATAGGTGCTGTTGGGGCCCTATTCACAGATGAAGGCCCAGGTAGTAAGTTAACCAAGATCAAGGTGAGGGCCATGGAGAGTCCCACTCCGACACAGTGGATCTCAACTCCTCTTTTAAAAAATTGAGATAAGGCCAGGCAGTGGTGGCATAAGACTTTAATCCCAGCACTCCGGGGAGGTAAAGGCTGGCGGATCTCTGAGTTCAAGGGCAGCCTGGTTTACAGAGCCAAGTTCCAGGACAACCAAGGCTACACGGAGAAACCTTGTCATGAAGAAAGAAAAAAAAATGAGAGTAGGGGGCCAAAGAGAGGACAAAGCCAGTAAAGTGCTTGGTACAAAACCAGGAAGGCCCAAGTTCAGATCCAGAACAGCCAGTAAAAAGCAGGCCTCAGTAATCCCTGTGCTGAGAAGAAGGGTACTGGAGGGTCCCCGGGACTGGGACGCTGTCCAGACGCTCTGCTATAGATGATCTCCAGGTTCAGGGAGAGTCCCTCTCTCAAAAAATAAGGTGGGGAGTCATCAAGGAAGACACTAAATGTTGACCTCTGGCCCCCACATGCATGTACACACATGTGTACACACAGGAACACATATCCCACCCAACACACTCACACACACACACACACACACACACACACACACACACAGCTGGTGAAATGGCTTGTTGGGTAAATTAACTTGCAACTATACCTGATGACCTGAGTTCACTCCCAGGATCCCACAGGGTAGG